GTTAAAATAACATTCACTTTTCTTAATATGAATTTGATATTCTGGATTTTTCAATTCCAATCATGTACATAATGTAAGTATCATCCAATCAGAAGCCGCACAGTACTCCTTTCGGATTATGAAATCATTCAAATGTAAAAACCTGACGGTAAAATGTAAATAAATAACAGCGCTCTTTTTACCTAGAATTGGTTCTAAAATGTTATTTCAATACACCTTCTTTTTGTGAGATTTTAACTGGATAGTCGTATGTACATGTACAGGCCCATGTGATCATATTGCTCTACGTGTGTATATAAATATATCAAAAGTGTATTTACAACTAAAAAGATATCAATACACCATCGTTCTTGTTTTGTTATCTTTTATACACAATAATGTGTTAAACTTGTTCATTTGCACATTATGCACTTTATCTATTTTCCATTTATTGAACATTTTTCTCTAATTTTAACCCTTAAGTAAATCCGTTTTTTTATTTCAAATATGCGTTTATCAGTCTCAAATAAATCTTAATAAATGAAATTTAACTGTATTTGCAAGAAACATGAGAAAGTAATATCGGTTTCTCATGTTGATTTTATCCCTCATTCAACGGGAATAAGATATGTTCGCAAATTCCAGAATCAGGTTATTCATATATCCCACCCCTAATATACATAATAGTTCCCCGTACCATGTGTACTGAGATTGCACTTGTATGTAGGAAAATATAAACCGAAGATTAATGTTTCCATTAAACTAATCAATATTAAAGAGCTGATCGATCTTGGATGAAAAAGTTACCGATACACACCATGAAAACAATCCGCCATTTTTATAATTTCTTAAATGGTAAGTTCAATATTCATTTTACATGAAATTACAAATTAGGTATAAAGCAGTCAATATGTCAAATAAACGTCTAATCATAAATATGGTTAGTGAAAAACAGGCGCTTATTCGAAATTAAATTTAAATAAATAATCAGGTGTGGAATAAACAGATTAATACTTCACAGTAGAGAAGATCAATTCACAACAAAACTTCAAATTTTATGAGTGAATAAACAGACCGGAACATAAACAAAGCTGATAAACGGTAAAAGTAGTTTAACATTTTTCAACTGCATACATGTCAATTGATTTGAAATAAGGTGTTGAATATTTTATTTAGTATTGCTAAACCACGATATCGATTTGTAAAATGTACTGTATTTTCCAATAAAATCAGACTTTTATAATGTGTAAACAATGATACGGACTTGTGCAATTTTGTTGTTTGCATTGCAAAAAGGAAGAAATCAAGCTAGTATTAAGATTTCACTATGGTGGCTGTCATGCTTATCTTTACATTACATAAGGTAATGGTAAAAATCTCATTTATTTTATCATAAAAAAAATTGCAATTGGATATTTGGTAAACATTTTCTGAAGAAATTTTTTTAAAAGAGTCTAGTAAATGATTAACTTAAAACATTAAAATATTACAGGCATTTAATTTTAAATTTTATTTTGTATGCTGTCACAAAAGATTATACGTTATGTAACAGTGGTACCACCGTCTTGATCAGATAGAAAAGAATTGGAGTATCGACTTGTTTTCATAGTTTGCTGAATATTTTTGTTCATATTTTGTCTGGCCTTGATACAGTTCTTTGATGGTGTAAACTTTCCATTAACACCATAAACCATTACACCATACACCATACACCATACACCATACACCATTACACCATGCACCTTGTTCCATAACACCATACACGTTACACCATACACGTTACAGCTTTGCACCATACACCTTACACATTCTATCTACACCATCCAAAATTACCCATAATTTAATTACAAAGAAGGCGTGCACCATACACGTTTTTGTGGGAAGTTTACATCATCCAAGGGCTGTAGAAACAAAAAAACGAGACGAGGGTATGCTGTTTCCAGGGTCGTCGGCGTCGTAAAAAATTTGTAAGTAAGTGATAAAGTCAGTTTATGGGTAGCCACTAGCTTTATATATATATATAGTGGTAGGTCAATGATATTTGATATGCAGCTGTATGATAATCATCGACAATCTCATTTCCTTTGAGATTATTGACCCCGCCCACTCAGTCACGGTCTATTGACTTTAAAACTGTTGCATAACTTACATATTAAAGTATTTCTATTTTGGTTTCAACATTTGTATTTAATTATGAAAATAACAAAAAAGCGAGACATGTCTCTGTGTCAACAGTTTATTATTTTTATCATTTTACAGGAAAATTGATAGATTGAATATAGTTCACTTCCCATTACAACGTTTACGATATCCATTTAGATGCTAAAAGTATGAAGCAGGTCTGACAGTCAGCAGCAATAAACTAATAATTCGCTATGGAGTCAATATCAGACAACGAAAAAAACTTCATGATTGTCCAGTTTATGTTGACAGGAATTTCGCCATTAGCTGTGCGTAAAATATTTGACAACGAATTTCACCCTGTATGTTTAAAAAGTTCACTTAGTAAGGAATACAAAAAGATCCAACAGCTGAAAAATAAAAGAGTTTTGAACCAGACACAAATGGATCTACTTTATCCAAAAGGAGGTGAGTTGTCCATTATATTAAAACATAAGGCATTTGAACTTTATATTTAACGCTTCATTCTACTTGATACAGATCAGATGAAATAAAAGAGAGGCAAAAGATACCAAAGGGACATTCAAACTCACAACTCAAAAATATACTGACAACGTTACGCCATGGCAAAAAAAAAAGAAAGAAAAAGACAAAAAGACAAACAACGGAACACAAAACACAACATAGAAAACTAAAGACAGAGCAACACGAACCCCTCCAAAAAATCGGAGGTGATCTGAGGTGCTCCGAAACGGTAAGCAGATCCTGTCCCACATGTGACACCCGTCGTGTTGCTCATGTAAGTACAATCCCGTTGATAAGTCTAATATGACAATGGATGCAAATGTTATTAGAAATAATGTTGAAATGGTCCCTATTTATCTAGGTTTCGTTCCATATTTGTTTAGCATAAAGATGTGCTATTCCAAACTTTAAACTTTAGAATATTGATTTTCAGTCAAACAAGATATATATGTTACAGTGAATTTGTATAATCAGGGATTATGTAGAATCCCTGATTTTTCAGGGATTATATAGAATCACTGAAATCATTGGTGATTATATATAATCCCTGAAAGTGACCAGTGATTTTGTATAATCACTGAACATTTTACTAATTATTTTACAAATTCCCTAATATAATATCAGGGATTATAAATACTTAAAAAAAAAGATAGTCAAATAATCTTTTTTTTATTACTTTGCAAGTTGAAGTGAACAATTTTCATTCCTGATCCACTAGGTAATCTTAAGTGAACATTTTTTCCAGTGATATTTTATAACTGTTGAACCACATTATTTCACAAAACAAATAAGTATGGTATACACACAGGTGTTGCATGGGTTGGAGTAAACGTATGCTCAAAAGTTACTGCAAATTGTAGAGGGAAAAAATAGGACATGGACAAGGAACAAATACAATGACATTGTTACTTTTGATGACAAAAGAACCAAGTAAAGGAGACAAAACTGCTGCTTATAACTATCTGCTGACAAAGTCAGTATTTTATTTTTTCAAAGACAGCTACCATCCTTTATAATTTCATACGTATTACGCTCTTTAATGCTCTATTCATTAAAAAAGGAGGGAGATGAGGGAGAGAGGCTGGTGGGCATATCTATATATATATAAAAAAAATCTTAAAAATATGACACAAAAATAATTTTGTGAATAGGAAAAGTTGCAAAAACTAAATATACAGAAACAAAAGTACCATTTATGATATGCACATTTCTACGATTTGCTTCTCATAAGTATACTATTGTTTCATACCAAATCAGTGCTTGATTCTGGTTGGGGAGAGGATAACTTTTAAACACAGAGGGTGATCGTAAAGATATAACCAACACAGGGTTTCGATATAATGTAGAAGACATTTTAATTAATAATATCATCATTTCCATTGATAGCAATAACTTGACATGTATTGTTTGCAAAAAGCCAGCGTCAAATGCACATTTATGATCTAAATGTAAATGCACAATGCATGTTATGTATTAATATATTGTGCTTAAAATTTTAATATTTTGTGTAACATTTTAATATATTGTGCTTAACATTTTAACATTTTGTGTAGTATTTTTTTTTGTCTAACATCTTAATATATTGAGGTTATCATTTTGATATATGTTTTGGATTTTATTTTTTTACAATTCATCTTCATAATGATGCTTTAATATAATTTTACAGAATAAATTATTAAAATTTCATTCACTTTCATTATAAACAAAACTGTTTTTTTCATTTCAGTTATTATGTATAATCCCTGACGTTTTTTCTAGTGATTATACATAATCCCTGTAAATATTAGTGATTATATATAATCACTGAACTGACCAGTTATTCTACATAATCCCTGAAAATTTTAGGGGTTCTATATAATCCCTGATTATACAAATTCACTGTAACATATATACTATTTCTCTTTCTTGTTGTTCTTTTACACTTCTTTTATGTTTTTTTTTGGGGCCAAACATTTTGCATCTTTTAACACGCCATGTGATATTTGGATTGAAGCTGTATTGACATAAGACGAATATCATCATTACCTTAAGGTGATCTAGAAATTTGGTCAAAATTCGTGTCAAGAACATAATTCTTTTATCGTATGATATTTGACACAAGGCGGCAACACATCAGGACGATGTTCTGTCTTTTATTTCTAGACGAGTTTTATCTGTCCTACATTGTGTGTATCGATATTCCACTGGTGCCATGCCCCGTCCTTTATATAGTTAACTGTTGAATAAAGCAAAAACTATTCAGATTCCCATCCGGAATCGTATATAGTATCTAACTGCCGTGAAAAAAAAACATTCAAAAAGTACAATCACAAAAATACTGAACTCCGAGGAAAATTCAAAAAGGAAAGTCCCTAAACAAATGGCAAAATCAAAAGCTCAAACACATCAAACGAATGGATAACAACTGTCATATTCCTGACTTGGTACAGGCATTTTTTTTATGTAGAAAATGGTGGATTTAACCTGGTTTTATAGCTAGCTAAACCTCTCGCTTGTATGACAGTCGCATCAAATTCCATTATATTGACAACGATGCGTGAACAAAACAGACACAATAGGTAAAAATGTCAAAAATAGGGGTACAGCAGTCAACATTGCGTTATCATCTTAATCACTATAAAAACAATGCAACGAAGAAGCACAAAAAGGCATACATCAAATTTAACATCCTCATTTTGCTTTTTAATTATACGATTTTATTTATTTATGTTAAATCCACCCTTAAGGATGGAAAGTTTTAAGTACTAGCGTAAAATCGCGCGTTTGAAATTCACACAGGTAGACATAAAATAATTTTGTCGTTCAAAGTATGACGGGATACATAAGTACAGAGTCAGATCAAACGGATATCACAAAAAACAGACTTAACAGTAAAAGTATTATTAATAAATAAAATAATTATGTCGTTCAAAGTATGACGGATACATAAGTACAGAGTCACATCAAATGTAAATCACAAAAAACAGACTGAACAGTAAAAGTAATATTGATAAATAAAATAGTTTTGTCGTTCAAAGTATGACGAGATACATAAGTACAGAGTCACGTCAAATGGATATCAAGGGCACCATAACTCTTTTCCTCGTATATCATAAATTGTTATAAAAAATATATATAACAGTTAAGATTCCAACCCGTTTACCATATATTCTTATTAACCAGTATAAAAAGTTTTCAGTACTAGAACGTGTTTGACGAGAATTATCTTTCATGGAGGTTGTTAATAAGTTTTATGCCACCAACACACAGTTGCAATTATTTAAGAATTGAATATTTTCTAGGCGTAGAACCTTCATCATCCAAATTTGACATATCACTGATGCTTTGTTTGTTGAGAAACTTCACTAATATTGATGTTTATAATCAGACTCCTCAAGCACACGAAACAAGTTTAGCAGCTGATCTCGGCAGAATTCATTATTATAGAAACGAGTGTGCTCACCTGAATAAATGTGAATTATCGACAACATATTTCAATTTGATTTGGACCGATTTAACCGAGGTAAGTATATGTTTTAATTAAGACTTCTTTAAAATCCAAATACGTATGCTTAAAATTGACCAAAATTAACACGAACAGAGCGCAGACATCAAAAACCTCCCTGTGCAACTGGTTAGGAGACGATCATTCAATTTTCTTAACGAGGGGGAAGATGCAGGATTATTTTAAAAATTAGAATCCTTGCCTGGTAAGAGCGAAAAATAAGAAAAATAAAACCCTTGCATAAGACAGGATGAATGTTCTGCAACACAACATGTAGAAAACAATAGTGTACAAAAGTAAAAATAAGTACGCATGCGTAGCACAGATGAAAATGTGTAAAATGTAAATACGCAAAAAGCGTACTGTCCCAATCCCTTCGAATTTTAGATTGTCGTCTCCTTACACAATATACAGGTGTTTTAATGTCGACAATTGCATAGATACATAAACACAAAACGCTCATGCCTTCGCGTTGATCATCAATCAAAAAATATTCAAATAAGTTTCGTTAATAGATAAGTGCTTACTACTTGAATATGCAGTATTTACGAATATAAAATAACTTAATATAAAATACGAGTGAAAGCTGTTTTGGTGCAAATCTTGACGTCTGTTTCCTAATAAAAAAACAGTCCTATATTAACACAACCCTGGATTAACCTGAAAAATGAACAAGAGTACACAGTTCTACTGGTTAAGATAACGTGTTTACCAAAAGAACTTTGACGATTTCGGTCTTCGTGTAAAAGTTCTAGTGAGTTATGATTAGACCACGATAAAAATATCTATCCTATGCCCAATTAAAACTAAATAGAAATCCTTATTGATTACATATATACTTTTAAAAGTGAAACAATTCTTCAGAAAAAGAGAGCAATAGGAAAATGAAATAAATTCAATTCGAATGCTGAAGTGAAATCAACAATTGTTGTTACTTTTCGTATTTGTGAACACCTGCTTCAAGAAGGGATAGAACATAACTCGTGAGTGATGTGAGTCTACATTTTGGCATAATCAATGAGCACTGGTCTGACATGTGACTCCTAATTACAATCATTAGAGTCTTGAAAATGACACGAAGTATATTATTAATTGATTTCTATAAAGTTTATTCATTTTAACGGCGTTAAAAAAATGACAACAGATGTAGATACTGTCTCGTTAACTTTATTTTTCTTAAATCAGTCAAATAGTTTTCAATGTCCTTCAACTTTGTATTTGTGATTCGAACTCCTCTGACGAGTCTTATAAGGACAACAAAAGGGCGTCGGGCGTTATTAACTATAGTGTATATGTGATGAATCTTTTTAATTGCTTCCGTTTCAATACATGTATTCATGGAATTTTAAGGCTTACCGATTCCATATAATGTTTACTCTTTATTGAACTGTACTGCGATACTTAGTTTATGTATTCGATCTTTGATATATTCGGCGTGGCTATCTCTCAAAATCTTAAACCATTGTCGCGACGTCAGCCTTTTCATTTTTTTTAGAATCAACTCTTCCTAAATCTGTCGCTCACCAAACTATTTTGAATTGCTTCCTTTGTGTGCATAATTTCATTAAATTTGAATTGGCTAATTTACTGATTTCTGTTCACTAATGGACTTAATTTAAAAACGTACCTTCAATTTTTGTAATTTGTATATGCCTTCCCTGGGAATTGAACCCTTCCTTGAAATCTATAATGTGTGACTGACATCAACACATCGACGAAACCTCTCGGCTACCAATGGATTGCAATTCAAATGTCCATTTTATATATATAAATGAACATATAATACACATCGGAACAAAGGACACACAGCGCTTGTACCTTTATGTATACACAATAGACAATCGTATAGTATTAGTTGGTAGCCGCGAGGTTACCATGTTTAATATCAATGAGTTAAAGAGTCAAATGAAAAGTAGACTTGTCGGTTTAGGTTCGAATCTCTGTATTCTGTTTTTGTCCCTATTAGTTAGTTTTCCGTTTTTCTTATTTTGTATGTCAACATAGTTATTGTGGATATTTTTGTAATAATAGCGTTTATTTTAGGATTATTGTTGGCTATTTTACACATGTAAAAAGAAAAGGATTACATTCAACTTGTCCATTTTTGTTTTATAAATACAGTATGCTTTCATCTGTTTTACTATATATCTTAACAAATGTTTATTCGCAAATCCCTATGCGAGTAAGTCGTGATGTGACAAGATTTAGGCTTCTTGATAGAATTTTCGGTAGCATATTTATTTTATATACTTAGAAATAATTTCGAATATGTTTTATTTTGTAAATTACGGATGATATTTAGAAGCCTGATGATTTAAAGACAGACGTGTTATGTTATATGTGTATTTCTCTAACAAATTAATTGTGAACTTAGATTTATTAATGAATCGTTGAACATGAGAACATGGTCATTTGAGCTCACTTACAATACCAATTCCTTATTTAAGAAAAAGCTTTAATTTTGAAAAGACATCAACACAACAGTTTAAGTTAGAGATACAATGGATCAGCGTTCATTTAAGAATCAATGCTTATTTATTGTTTCTACATAATACTTCTCCTTTATTTTATACCAAACAACAAAATCAAAGAAAACTAGTTTAGGTTAATAACTTACAATTACATTGAATTTCATGATTACAATTTTGTGTTTGAAGTTAAATACCTGTGTTGCGTATTTTTCCGTATGAACGTAGATACAAGCTACTCGGACTTTCTAGTGACATAATGTGATATAAATATAATAACGCAAAAATTTTCACTACACTTTTTAAACAGACAAAATTTAAAAACATTCGTGTATTGGATTTTTAAAATCAAAAGTATACGATTTTATTAATCAAAAGTGTATTGGAAATCGTACTTTGACCTAAGGATGCCAATAAATCAATGTAATAAATTACTTACAAATGACTTGTAGTTTTAATACACCGTAACAGTTCAGTTGTTTCTTGCTTTATGCAATCTCAGATATATTTTGTATTGTATCTGGACAAAGATTTTAAAAGTGTATATCTAGAATAATAAATGTGGTTTTTTTTCCACATAATTAAGCCGTATGGCGTATTCAAACCTAAATTCATCAGAAAAAAAATATCCCACTTTAGTGTAATCAGTACAATATAAAACAAATCCTGCAAATCGTTGCAGAAATTAATATTGTTTACGGTATAAAAGTCTGATCATGCCTTTTTTAGGCTTTTCTTGTCGAAGAGCACACATTGGGTTGTAAGACCTAAATGAAAAACCTTCCTGTGGTCGGTCTTTCATTTGATCAATTCTGACACCCCTCGATACGCTATACGAGAAGAAAAAACTCAGAATATGCATTACCTATAAGATTTTTTTTTCTGTCAAAATTTTATGTTACTCGCCTTTTTTCAAACGTATATTTTTCATACTTTTTTAATATCTATTTATAAATATTATAGTTAAAACATAAAACGCCGTGAATCCTATCTATTAAAATGATGCTGAAGATACAAAGAAGATTCAAAACTCGTTAGTCAAAGAAAAATCAACCACGCCATGTAAAAAAAAAAGCCAAAAACGACGAAACAAGTCCACACATCACTACATAGAAAACTAGCTGATTTATACGAACCCAATTAAAAAACCGGGGTTAAATCTAGTACATATATGTAGCTCCGGAAGAGCTTGCAGTTCTTGATCCACATGTAGCAATTGTCGTGTTGCAGATCCAAGATCATACAAGTACACATCAACAGTAATTTAGCCGGTCCATATAGCATATTTATTAACCAGTGACATAGAAACAGTATACATTGGCCATTTTTTACAATCCATGTGCTTGAGAGAACTGGTAATTAATACAGATCTAATCCACAATTTTAACTGGTCTAATAAAGGTTAAAAAAAAACTGTTTGTGTAATTAAACTCATCAAAGACCCCAGGATTCAAATTTTGTACACCAGGCGCGTTTTTTCATGTACAAAGAGAATGATCAGTTATGCTCGAATCCAAAAAATTTAAAAGGTCAAATAAAGTAACAAGTTGAAGAGCATTGAAGTATAACGCAAACCATAGATGTTCAACAAGTTTGATGTTAGTTGTTACTTGTATCTATTTTTTAACATTGTGTTCTTTTATAAAAATTAAAAAATAAAAGCCCGAGAATTGGATGAATGTTTTTGAGAACAATTTTGGATATACCACATTATTGTTTATTATACAGAACTTAG